TCCCAAAGAACAAAAAGGGATATCTGTAGGGTGAGCAACCAGCAGTGCTCCCCACTGGCTTTAATAACAGTTTTTCCTTTAATATATAGTATTAATATTTGAGTGCTTTATCATATTACTGAAGTATTATCTTTCTCCCACACTGACAGTATTATCCTGGTATTTTTAAGGACAAAATTATCCTGGGGGGAAAAACATTTATCCTTGAGCCTACTTTTTTTTTTTTCCTCATTCTGATACAATTAGAAAATACTTAAGAACCCAAAAGCTTTCACAAAAAAATGATCTTGTTCATCTCAGCCCTGATCAATTGGTTATGCAGATTGTGTCTCATTACTTTAAAATAGAATTGAATGGAAATGGGACTACAAAACTGAATTTTGATTGCCATTTCTGACTTTTCCTAAAATAAGAAGTGATAAGACATTTTTGCAACATAAAATAACTTTTCAAAAGTGTTTATGGAAATTTATTTCAAGAAAAATTGCAATGGAGCATAGCCCAGCGGTCAAGGACGTGGACCGTGAGAACAACGGAACTTGATTTGAGTCATTGTCCCTTGTTTAGCAATGATGTGACAGTAGGCCTCACCTGCAAAATGAAGAAAATAATCATGCCTTCTTCCAAGATTGTTGTGAAAGTTGAAGGAGATTAAAATATGTCCATATGCCTACATACATTTATTCTTAACAGAGTGGCTAGTACGTTGTAAGCTTTCGACAAGTTGTGACAATTTTTACTTATATCAATATCAACAAAAGTCCATAAACATCCAAGTTAACATTTTCTTACATAGGATAATTAAAATCAAATTGACAACTTTTAGAAGTAACAATCTTGAGAAACAAGCTGTGAGGGCTGCCATGTATGTCATACCACCTTGTTATGGGAGGTCTTGCATTGGTTCTCATGCCTCTTCCAAAGAGTTCTCCAGTTGGCTTGTTGTTGGTCAAAACTTAAAGCCAGAATCATGGCCTTACTGACTTTTCAGGGAAAACAACTGCTCTTAATGCCTCATACACATTAGAATTCTTTTCCATTCATCTAGGGAGTAGACCAGATGTGTCAGTCTGCTTCTTGAGAAGTAAGCAGGATAAAGCATGTTGATATGGGTGTCACAAATCTCTTAACTTCTCTAGTTATTGTCCTCCTAAGCCATATGCTCTGTATTTCAAGCCAAAGCTACATGAAGGCAGAAAAATTTGGCAGAGTGAACAGTGCATGTGGGTATAAACATTAGTTCTCTAGTAGAAAAAAAAGTATTTCCTTCATAAAGCATTACAATTCCTTTTTGTTTTTAAGAAACTGTATGTCATACTTCACCTTCAGAAAACCTCCAGTAATTATCTAATCAAGTCAGAAAAGTAGCTTGTCAGCTTGCGCCCTTCCCCACCACATTCTCCTTCTTGAATTCTGCGTGTGACTCTTCTGATTGACCCAAATGCCGATCTTCACTGACAAAAAGCCTCTTCGTGGGAAAGGGCATGGCACGGAGGTCCTGTGGCAGGCATTTTGACTGTAGGGACCATGAAACTTACTTTCTGGATCCAGGACCTTGGGTTGTTAAGTAATAAACCAAACTCAGAATTATTTAGGTTAAAAAAAAAAAGGAATTTATTCTAAATGATACTCGGTATCTCAAAGAACAAAAAGCAAAGGGAAATGCGAATATTCAAGAAGGGTTGAGATGTAACTAAGTATAAAAAATTGCTGACAACAGGGTCATACACCCAGTACCAGAACTGCTCTTTTCCATCTTGCTTTTGTGTTTCCCTGGATGGTATCTTACTCTTTTTTTTTTTTTTAATCACTGCAGGTTAACCTTCTCCAAATAACAGAAAAAGTGACTGTCACTGACATGCTAGCTTTCTGTCTTATAGCTTGAACCACACAGAGCAAGACTTGACCTTTTCAGTTCTAATTCTCAAATCCTGGAGAAAAACTCTGCTAAGTCTAGCTTGGATTAGATTAACTGAGGCAAAGAGACAGAATACCATTTGGATCCCTTTGGTGAGTTGCCCAATCAACCAACTGCCTACAAGAAGTATCATATTGTACTAATGTGTTGTCTCCAGTGTTTTTAAAAATTTGCATGGGGCAGTTCTCAACAGAAGAGGTGCTGGCCTAACTATTCTGTAGATGTCCACTATTGCAAAGATATACTATGGAAACAATGCAAGGAAGTAGATCTAGCTTCCCATTTTCCAGCAAAGCCTGCCTATGGTCCTTGAGAATTTCCCATTAAAGCTGTTCATTCACTGTTAGAAAGTTCAGGATGGTGGGATGGCTGGAGGCAGTGGCAGGGAGTTGGGGAGGGTGGTGATTACACATGAAAGGAACCAAGCAGAGAGAAGGGAAGGAGGGCACATCAAGGAAGCATCGCCAACTTGAAGCAGAGGGCTCTGGACCTCCCAGCTCTTTTCAGATTAAATCCTTATGGTTCTCCCAGCTGCCTCGCTTCCCTCCTGCCTTACACCTCTTTTTAATATTTTCTCCCATCATTTTTAAAATGAAGACCTTCTGTGTTACTTAGATTTCTGTCCTCCTCCAGAGAAGCAGTGCTCTACTTTAGGCAAAAGTTTGAAGTTAAGAAGATTTTGTCTCTTCAGGAGAGCACTTTCCCATATCCTCCTGTTACATTTCTCAGAACAACAAAATCTGAGGGTTGGAGTAGATCGATCTTGAGGCCATCAAGTTCATCCATTGCCGTATATATCCCATCTCTGACATCCATGACAAGTGGCCATCCACACTGCTTGACCATGTTCCAGGAAGGAGAACTCATCATTTTTCAGGACAGCCCATTCTATCTGTAGATGGTTCTATTAGGAGTACTTCCTTATGTTAAGCTCCTACAAGACCAATAATGTGTCTTTTTTTTTTTGTTGCTTCCACCTGTTGGTCCTAGTTCTACCACCTGGAAAAGAACAGAAAAGTCGAGGCTCTTTCCTACATGTTCACCTTTCAAGAGATTGATCACGTCCATCATGTTTCTCCCTATGATTGTTCTCCAGGCTGAGCGACTGTTCTTCCTCTAACTGTTCTCTGCTGTATGAGATTTCAAGTACCTCTGTTATTAACAGGGACACTCTGTTCTAGAAGCTTTAGTTATTTAAATGTTCTTCTTAACATTTCCCCCCAAAACCAGACATAATCTTCCAGATATGGAAAAATCAGCACAGAAAGAACAGAACTAATAAATCTTTCATTATAAATATAGAACTTCTATTCAGATAATCACATTTATCTTCTGGGAAGACCGAGCCTATGCTTAGTCACTCTTATGCTGAAAATTATGTAATGATTAATTTATAATGAAATTTAAATGATAAAGAGTGGAGTTATTTGAATTTTATAAGTGAATTTCAGGCATTAGTAGTTGAAATTGGAATGGAAAAGAGGTGGGAGCATGAATTCCCATAATTCTTCAAATCATATGTCTGCTAGCACTATCCATTAAGTCAAAAATACTAGTCAGAATAAGCCCATCTCAGGGGATCATTTGATTCCTCTCTTCCCCTTTGCAAAATCCATATGCTTAACAAAGTTTGTGTCCTGGTTACATAGCCACACACAAAGAAGCCTCTGGGGTAAGCACACTAATGCACACTCAGCCCCCAAGGAGCTAACAATTTAGAAGCTATAAAACAAGCCCTTTGCTTACTTAACTGAAGTGTGCTTTGTACACCAATGAATCAAGGAAGAGCAAGAAATCACCATGTCGGACTGGATGGCACAGTGAATTAGTATATGTAAATTCTCAACTTGTTCTAGAAGCAGAACCCAATTTAAGGAAGTTGGAGTGAAGCTTGAGAGGTCAATGGGAAAAGCTCCAGCCCTGTGTTAAGTGGACATCCTAAAATACAGACACGTTGTGTCCTGCCTTCTTCTGTAGTCACTTATGGGTTCATCAGGAAAACCAATGATCTCAGAAAATAATAATGAATATTCTACTTATGTATTTCAGGTTCAAAATGAGTGTATGGCATATTTTTTTTCCAGGGTAGACAAATTTAAAATTTTGAATCTTAAAATCTAATATGAAATAAATGGTGACATTTTATGAACCTTATCATAAGCATATGGCACTCATTCTCAGTTTTGTTTTTTGTTTTTGTTTTTGTTTCTAAAAACATTTGAGTATGTGACAAGTCCCTCAACATTGGCAGCGACAGTCGTCCCAGGCCTCGTAAGACTGCATATCAGCAAGGAAGCTTGACATTTCTTCTGTCAGCAACATAGGCCCCTGACCTTCTATCTCCATCAGGGAAGTTAAAAAAAAATCATGACTGGGGCGCCTGGGTGGCTCAGTGGGTTAAAGCCTCTCCCTTCAGCTCAGGTCATGATCCCAGTGTCCTGGGATCGAGCCCCGCATCGGGCTCTCTGCTCAGCGGGGAGCCTGCTTCCTCCTCTCTCTCTGCCTGTCGCTCTGCCTACTTGTGATCTCTGTCTGTCAAATAAATAAATAAAATCTTTAAAAAAAAAATCATGACTAACTCAGGACAGAGCTGGGAGCCCAGTTTCCATAGTCATAGAGCTTATTAGTTCCTTCGTGTTAGTAAAGCTGGAATTAAGGATTTGTGCCCCTTGTTAGCGCAGAAAGTTCCAGTCTAGTGGGCTTAGGTATAACCCTAACCTCATTTGTTTACAAGGGAAGAAGTGCCAAACCATGGACAGCTTGAAGCTACCTACCACACAACTGAGGGAAAAAATTCAAGATCCCTCAGAGTGAGAAAGGTCAAGTTCATCCTTAAGGTACAACTCATTGTTGTGTTTAGCAACAGGGGATTCCAGTCTCCGGTGCCATTTATTCTTCTGAATTTCATAGTGCTGATAAGTATAGAATTCATAATCTCTGCACTTTAGAATTAAAACAAAGGAAGACTTCATGATTGGTGTGCTCCATTGAATACTTTAAGATTAGCTGCTTTATCCATAAACAAAGGCAGAATTACCTATTTCCTGATTCCTTTACATGAAATCTTTTATTTCTCCAATAGATTGTTTGGTTTCTACAAGGGGATTCTGCCACCAATCTTGGCTGAAACACCAAAAAGAGCAGTGAAGGTAAGCATTATATACCTTTCCACCAAGTGAAAACAGACATCCTGCAACAAACTATGGGACGTTAATGTGAATTAAAGATAAAACAGTAAAAAATTGAATGTGGAAATAATAGCATGACTATTACAATTATTAGGCCAGGTCACTCTCTCAAATATTGGTTTATGGATTTTTTTTTCCAGATAAAGGCGCTTCCTTCTGATAAGGAAATTATACAAAAAGTACGGTGGTGAATGAAATTCATGTCATTGAACCACAGCAGCCACAAAATAACTTGGTCCTTTTTCTCAAAGCAATTCATCAGTTTTCCTTGGGAGCAAGAATTATTAAGAAGAGAGTGAGAGGACAGGAGGGAAGAGTGGTAGAAAAACCCTTTTCCCTAAATCAGTTCCATTTTGTGAACACAACAAACTAATACACTGTATTTCTTTGTATATGATTCTCATATAACACATTTATTCCGCACGCTAACTTCATTTCCTTCCCTGCCCCTTCACTCTGGGCTTCTCTGTTAAAATTCTCTATTCTGGTTTTTACAAAATTATTACTTCCACTATGCTGATTTCCATTCTTTAACCACATAACTATGGGAGTTTATGTACTGCTTGCTGGTTCAGTATCTGGAGAGGAACACGGAGATCTGGCAGGACCTCCGGGGAAGAAAGAGCTAAATCTGATCACTCTTTTCTATGTTTTCTTGGACAGAAGTCCTGATCACAGTGACTCTGGCTGGCAGTGCCCCCTCCCCTCACCACTGACTTCACCAAATATGGCTTTGTCTTTTCCATAAGAAGGATAACATACACTTAGGCCAAAAGACTTCCTTTCCAACTAATGACGTAAAGCTTTTTTCAGATATATTACTCAATTTGTATTCCCAATATTCCTGAAAGGTAAAATGGGACAATTTCTACACTTTTGCTCAGTAAATTAAGAGGTTAACTAAGTTAAAATTTGTGATAAGGAAAACTAACATGCACAGACAACCATACTTTTACATTATCTCAAATAGTAATTTAATAGAATTTAAGTCAGGTCTAGAATTTAGAACACAAAGCTTTAGGGGCGCCTGGATGGCTCAGTGGGTTAAAGCCTCTGCCTTCAACTCAGGTCATGATCTCAGGGTCCTGGGATTGAGCCCCGCATCAGGCTCCCTGCTCAGCAGGGAGTCTGCTTCCCCCCCCCCACCCCTCTGCCTGCCTCTCTGCCTATTTGAGATCTCTGTCAAATAAATAAAATCTTAAAAAAAAAACACAAAGCTTTAAAACATACTTTCTCTATAAATTCATCCCCTTTGTTGCCATAGTTTTTGTGATTTTATATTATTACTTCAATACAAATTTCATTAGAAGGATCTGAATCGCAGTAGAGAATCTGGAAAAAGTTCACCAAAGTACACAAGAGGGCTGAATTGAATTATGAAATGGCTTCACTTGATAAAAGATTGCCCAAGTAAACAAACAGAGCAGAGTTCCTTTTCAAAAGGAAAGTCACTTTGTCTCCATGGAATAATATATTCATTTGTTCAGTGTTTTACACGGATAAATAGAGTCAATTATAATTAAAGTTTTTCCCGGAGTATTTTTCCTTAATACTACACATTGGAGACGATTTCATTTAAATTTGAAGAGGATTAAAGTTTATCAGTGTTGAACAGTCTTTTATGTAAGGGGAAAAAAAAAAAAGTTGAGCTTTACAAAACTGAGTTAGTCTCTACTTAAGAAAAAAAGCAATGCTCGCTGCCAGAGCAATGGTTAACAGATGAACTTTTGGGCAACTGGATATGGTGTATGTGTCCCAGACATCTTGTTTCAAGTTGATTTTACCTTAAAATTATTGAGACATATGGTAAGTGCCTTGGCTTTTTAAGTCCAACTTGGAGTTAAGTATATCTTTGCCAGATGGATAGCACTACTTTTTCTATACAATTTATGAAAATATTCATTTTATAGATATTTATCTTAGAATTTGTGAGGAAGGCGATCATCAGATTGTAACGATATCTTACGTCATAAAGTGCTTCATTGTATGGCATCAAAGTTTACTTCAGGAGAAATATTCAAAGACCATATATACATATATATATAAAAATAGACACACACATACATACATATACATGAATAAATGTGAATGTGTGTGTGTGCGTGCGTGTGTGTGTATTCCTTGGGCCTGACACTTCGATTACAATCATTATTATAGTCAGAAACAGACAATGTGAAGTTTTTGTGCACTTTAGTCTTCAAAATAAGATCATTAAAGTAAGACTCATCAATGCTAGATAAATGAAACTTCCCCCTTCACAGATTAAGACAGAATTAGTATTGCAATTAGCAAAAGGAAATAAAGACCTCAGAAAGAGACCAACTGATCTTTCAGACATGGGAGACACCATATTTCAGTTTCCAGAATCTGGTCTTGAGATTCATAGGTCCAGAAACACCATTTTTCCATGGACAGACTCTCAAGGACCATCTGATGCTAACCAGACCCACAAAAGAGTAGGAACTGTGAAGGCTATTTGTTTGTCACGATCCCTACACCTGTCATGGTGTCTACACCTACTAGATGCTCAATCAGTGTTCGATACACAGATGAAACAGAGAGAAACAGAAAGTGTATTGATTTATCACAGGAGACATTCCTATACTATTCCCCAAAATTCCCACATCTACTGTTCAGTTTTTGGAAGACCAAGACTTCCATTTCCGGCCAAGATAGAGTAACAGAGACCAGATTTACTCTCCTGCCTGAAACAGCAACAGAAATGAACAAAATATATGAAACCCCAGTTTCCAGGACACTGGACATCAGACAAGGAAGGGCAGGGATGGGAAACAAGTGAGATGAGCTCTACGGTTTGCCCCCAGCTTACTGCCTGGAGAGGTTTTTCCAGACCTCAGGCACGCAGGGGAGATGTAAGCAGAGCCTGCTCTACCCCCTGGGTTGAGATGGAGCTGACAGGCTGGAGAGGGCAAGGCAGCTAGAGTTCACAAAACAGAGGTACCAGAAAAGAGAAAACTGCACAGAGAGCTCCTAAGCTCTTCACAGGGACCCCATAAATATTCAGCGGAGAACTGCCGAGTGCATATGCATGTGAAGAAACTAGCAAGGCCTGCGAAAAAGCTGTCCAGAGCACTTGGGGGAACAGTGCATGGCAAACCCACAGGGCCAGGAATAGTCCCTGCTCCCACCAGCGGAACTGGAGGGCCCCAACATGCACAGGCCATTGACAGGAGTCCGCAGAAGGGGTCTGCCTTGGTAGTGGGTAATAATTAGCCCTAGTCTGAGTGCTGCTTAGGTAGTTAAAAGCAAGACCCAAGTGGACCGGACCATTTCCATGTAATTTAACTGCATCCTGGAACAGAACACCTGGGAGGTCACGTTAGTCATCAGATTGCTGAGTGAGCGTGAATGGAAGCAAAGGGGAAATGGTGGAGGACTGTGTCCCCCAGGCAAATTGTACTGACCTCCCCTTCCCAGCCACAGCCTGACACTTCTCCGGAGACCACACGGCAGCCAATTCCCCTAGGTGAGACTACCAGTTTCTAGATTCTAGTAGATAGGTTATATATGACACGATTCATTTGGGTTCCAGATTTTATATTCAGGATTCCCAAAACCTTAATTGAATATGAATGTTTTCAAAACTCTGTAGTCACATATCAGTAAGACTTTGGGGAGGCAACCTGATTACATGTTGACCCTCCCAATTTTATCCTTAGAATGTAATCTCGTATCTTATATGATAGGGTACTTATATCACATCTCTGCATTGGTCACGTTGTGGCTGAGGAACTACTGAGAAATATCATGAAAGACATGAATGAGTAGTGTTGTATAGAGAGGAAATAAAATAACAGCTCATCTACTATAGATGAGTTCTGGGATATATAGGTCTGGGATAATGTCTTCTAAGAATATAGTTCTGGGATAATGTCTTCTAAGCGTTGAACATGAGAGACATTCAGTAAATATTTGTTGAATGAATGAATGAATGTTTTTTAGTAAATACTGGTGTCAAACTAAAACGCTGACATTTACATTATTTTACTATGACTGAAACTCCATTTTAAAAGATCTTACCTTTTCCTTCCTCGAGATAGTATCTTCTTTATTTGAAGCACTATTTGCTTATTGGAATATATGATAATATATTTTTCATGACTTTTGAATTCAATACCCTAATAATTCATCACTGTAGCTTATGGGGGCTCCTTCCTTCCCAGGAACCTGAATCATTTATTTCCTCCTAGCCACTCACCAAAAGCTTCCAGCAACACTGCTGATGAGTACCAGTCAGCTAATGGTAGTTTGGTTTTCTCACAATTTTAGAGATGGGATAGGAAAAGCCTAGAATCGCCCCAACACAGGGACTTGGAATTCCCTGTGAGAATTGCTACAATGACAGGCCCAGTGCCTGTCCCCAGACTTCTCCCTTGAGATCCCAGTTTGGTCTAAGACCTTGGAACTATAGAAAATCAGAAATAAAAACAGAAGTCAAAACCGCATCCTCACACTGGAAGAGAACAAGGTAGTGAGGGCTTTTGTGAGGTCCATCCATCCCAGAACTTCCCTGAACCCCGTGTTCCCAAATGTAGGTCATGACCTATGAGTCATAAAATCAATTTAGTGGGTCACTAGATGTAATGGGTCATGACGAGAATTTTTTTCACGAGACAGAATAGAAACATAATGCCTTACACATAGTGAGGGGGGAAACTGTTTTACAGCAATGTTTTGTTTCCGTTATAAATAAACATAAGGGTACGCTGCATTCGTGCATGCATGCGTGAGTGCATGTGTATGTGTGTTACATGAACACTTTTTACATTGATTGTGCTCAGAAAGGTTTGAAACCTTCTGCCTTGAGGGACTCTGGGCCTCCAAGGTCAGGGAAGGCAAGAAGACCTCAGCAGCAAGAAAACTCCAGGGCAGAGAATCCCACACTGTTAACAGTCACGGCTCAGCAGTGAGCAGGCGTATGTTGTGGTTAAGAGCATACTCGGGCTTTGCCGTCAGTCCTTCCACTCACTAACGGCAGGATATGTATCTACAAAATGAGAGTCATGGTTGTACTATGATTGTACTATAACCTGATGCTTACAAGCCTGATGGTGTTGTCCATATAACATCATCATACAACATTAGTCCAGTCGCACAGGCAAAGATCTTAGCATGTTTTCTGGACCACAGCAAGCTACCGTGGAGGGATACAAGGAACTGTGGTTCCTCTATTAGTCAAAGTGAAGAAAGAGAATGAAAACTAAGATTTTCTGAAAGTCCTATCTGTGTTGGGCATGTCAGAAAAATCTTACTTAAATTTCATTATTTAAGGTATATTTTAGAAGGTTAAGTTTTGTGTTCTTGAGGGCTAGAAATGTCAGGAGCCTTGCCCATGCTTTCACAGCTAAGTAGCATAACCAGGATTCAGTCCTGGGACTGCTCCTATTGAAACCCCAGCAAGGAAATTATCAAAGGATAGTGAGGACAGTGACCATAAAAACGAAGAAAAAAGCTTATCTGTAGAGCCTAAGACAATAACACTTTTTCTTCCATGGTTAATGGTTTCACCAAAACAGTGGTAGCTGCTGGTGCTGTTTTTTTAATACCAGGAAAGTTACAGGGTTGACACCACCCACTAGAACGTTCCATCAAGGAGGCAGGGGTTTCTTTTTCTTTACTTTTGCAGGAGGCATCCAATAAATATTTGTTGAATGAGTAAATGAATGAATCCCTGATTTAGAAAAGCTTATAACTAGGGGCGCCTGGGTGGCTCAGTGGGTTAAAGCCTCTGCTTTCGGCTCAGGTCATGATCCCAGGATCCTGGGATGGAGCCCCGCATCGGGCTCTCTGCTCAGCAGGGAGCCTGCTTCCTTCTCTCTCTCTGCCTGCTTCTCTGTGATCTCCATCTGTCAAATAAATAAATAAAATCTTTAAAAAAAAAAAAAAAGAAAGAAAAGCTTATAACTATAGTTGAATTAAAGAAGCATGGCACAAATTTATTCCTGGGTCTCTAAAAGAATCAAAATCTATCTGGTGATAGAATGACTTTGGGGTTGCCCAAAGACTCACAGAGCCGTGTCTACCTAGAACTACTTCTTTCTAACAACAGAGAATTATTTGATCCCCACATCTGCTTTTTTTCTTCCCATCCTATTGGGTTATAAAGTAATAGAATAGAAGACATTCGAGACCATAAAGTACCTATGCCTTTTCTGGAGTCTTAAAAATCGGGCCCTCACAGGACCTAAGAATGTGCCTTATCAGCACTATTAGCAGCTTCTACTAACAGAGCTCCCAGGAGCTAAACATCATGATCAAGCAGAGTTGTTTCCCAAAATACAGCGTACAGAAAGAGAGGAGAGAAATGTAGTGTGGGGCTCATTACATGACGTCTGACGAGATTTGCCTTCATAGAAATTTATTTGCAGAGAAAATTATATGAATGTTACTTCATGAAAGGAACCTACAAAATCTCCCTCATCAGATATTAAAGGAAGGAGCAAACGACTCTCTTCATGAAGGGAGAAAGGTTGAAGACACTCTTGCTTTTAAATCAGGGTGGACTGGATGACCTCATTGGGTCCTTCTCTGTGTTACCATGGCGCCTTCATCATCAGTGAGTGTTCGGAAACCGTGAAACAATAGAGATACATAAGAAAGAGCATAGGCGCATGTTCAAGACGAGAACGGAGTGTGGGTTAGAAAACTGGGCATTCACTGGGAAAGCTGTTCACAGAGAAAACATAGGAGACCAGAGATTTTGGGTCTCTCTGCCTATAATTTTGAATCACTGCCATAAAAAAGAAGTCTATTGATGTCTGGGGAAACTGAAAATGGTCATGGTAAATGGAAGCTGTATGGTTCATTTACAGCCATAAAGGATTCCTTCCATCAGCTCTTCTGTAGGCTATTATAGTTGCATTGGAAAATGCAAATGTTGAAGTAGGGTCCGCCAGCAGCTACCCGAGACCAGATTCAAAACTGTGCCCAATGGTTTATCATCTTTCTAAAATGCTGGTTAATATCATGATTTACTAAAGACATTTGACTGAATTAAAGGGCTTGTTGCAGGAAATGGTTATAAATCTCTGGGTTTGGTTTTGTTTCACAGTTTTTCACCTTTGAGCAGTACAAGAAATTGCTAGGATACGTGTCACTGTCGCCAGCATTGGTAAGTGAGAGTATTTATTATACTTAAGTGTGTGAGTTATTTCATAAAGCGAAATCTGGAAACAAAAACCCTTTTGATTCCCCAAGCCCAACTACGCAAATATGAATTCGAGTTATTCAATGTTCAGCTACTTGTTGAAAGCCATCTTCCTAATAACTCACAATTTGGCTATTTTATAGCTCCCAGTGATGAATTTATGATAACAGTGATATGTGTGGAAAGACCCATATGAGATATGGTCAAGAATATAAAATAAAGAGTACATTTGTCAAAGATTCTGTGAAAGCCAAAACGTGCATATGTTTACATACTACGTCCTGCGCATATCTGTTTATGCAACAGTCAGTCTGCCTAAGAAATTTCCTAACAGGTCACTCTTCCAGCTTTTGCTCAAGCTGTAGGAGATGCGGGACTTCAGGTCACCCTGTAGGCAGCTGCAGACTGAAGGACCTGTAGTTGTTGAGGAGAACAGTGATGCTACGATGCCACATCTCAGCTGTTCCATGGAAATCACATAGTGACGCGGACATCTCTCAGTGCCTCTCCTCTCCTCCTTGGTGACCTTGCTGCTTCACAACTGCAAATTAGAGTGACCAGATGGGTTCTACAAGGATGTGTGCAGAAAGAGCCCAAGGGAGAGAAAGTGCACTGATTCCTCCCTCCAAACCTGAAAAACAAAATGAAGCAAAACTACCGATACATTGACCCTCCAATTGACAGGGGGGTCCCCAGCCCCCCGAAAAGTCCTCTGGTGTACCTGCTGCAGTGGGCCTCAAAACTCATGTTCTGAGCTTTGGCTCTTCTGTTACTTAACTTGTAAAGGTTCACTTCAAAATACTTACTCTGCCCAAAAGACTGTCCAAGAAGAAATAGCTCTTATTTCTTAAACGGTACCTGCCCCTTCTCTAGGAAGGATCCTCTAAGAAACTTCTTGCCCAGCCTCCTGCCTAAACAAGGTACTGTGAAATAACCTTGTATGGTAGAAGTGGCAGCCTGAGTCCTAATATTAGCTCAGATTTTTTTTTTTTAATGCCTCGCTGTCTTCTCTTACTGTCATTCTCAACTTTGGAAACATTTTGGTAAAGAGAGGATTAAAAACTTCCTAGCAAAAAGACAATAAAATATGGTCTCCAGAGGGCCAGCTGGCAGTTCCTGTGTCGAGCATTGGTACCATGTGAGAGGCTGCAGTCGCTTGGACTCCTGAGAATTAAAACAGAAAAGCGTTTGGCCACTCCAGCTACTCTAACTGAATGCATGCAAACTGTAGAGTGTTCTCTTTCCTCGAACTCATTTATTCCAGTGTCTTTTTGACACGGCTAGACACTTAAACAGCCCTTAAATGTCTCCCGGCGCTTGCACATGAAAAGCCTAGGAGGCTGGGAACCCAACTGTTCCCGCTGGTCTCTGGAATCATCTAAGTAACGTGATCTGCTGATAGCTGATCAGTTCTTTTGACAAGGGACTGCTGAACACTAGTTCTGACAGCAAATGTAGCTCAGTTTTATAGAAGAACAAAAAAGTGAATTACTTGGAAGATTGCATATAGTAAGTAATAAAAACCTGAACATCTGGATTTTAGCTTTCCCAGTCAGAAGAGTTTGGGACTAGTATTTGTGTGTGTGTGTGTGTGTGTGTGTGTACACTCATGTACACACACATGTTTTGGCTTCCATGATAGAAGTCTGAGATAAATGAATAAAATATTTGGTATGTTACCCTATGCAAATGTGTTTAAATCATAATGAAGGGGCATGAAAGGAAAACATGACTAATTATTCCCTCTCCTTGAATCTGTATACTATCCCATTCTTCCTCTGCATTTTTATGTGCAACAGGAACAATGATTTTTGTAAAGCACTTTACAAAGGGCTTCACACATTGTTTTGATCCTCCTATGAGGTAGGGGGGTTAGATAACATTGTCTCCATTTTACAGATGAGAAAACTGTGGCTTATAAAAGGTTCTGTGATTTAGACACTGAGCTGCAGCTCACACTTGTGGTGCCTTCGTGTGAATTAGGCAAAGTTGTCCTTTCTCCTGGCAAATGCCTCTCCAGGGCTCCAGCTTGGCAAGTGGGGTGCAGGCTGGATCTCAACCTAAACACAACAATTAAAATATACACACACACAGCTTGTTCTGTGCTCAAACTAATGCACATGGCAGCCTCAGTCACACAGCCAAGAAGGGGCAGAACTGGTACCCAGAACTCCCTCTAGCTCCTCCCTTGTTCCCCCTTGCCTTTTCTTCCAAAGTTAGGGAATATTCATTTCTCTTTTCTCTTTTTGTGTTCTACTTTGAAGAAATTAGAGACTCCTAGCAAGAGTTCTCTGTTCTTTTTTCTTCATTGGCTTTTTTCTTCTTTTGGTTGTATATAGTGTTCCTCTTCTCCTGGAATTAGAGCTTCAACACTAAAGAATTACTGTTTTCCAGCATCTGGTTTGAAGATTTGAGGCTTTGTTTCATTTTGTTTTTCTGGTGTGTGTGTGTGTGTGTGTGTGTGTGTGTGTGTGTGTGTGTATTTTAATTGTTGTGGTTATTTTTGATACACATCTTCTGAAAAAGTCTTAAACATTCTACTTTGAGGAGAAGTGAAGAAAGCTGTAGTTCCTTATTGCAGAAACTCTTAACTTAGAGCAAATAAGAACTTCACATCATCGTTTGAGAAATGTAGATTTTAGCTGAGCCTTTCAGAACAACCTCGCCATTTCTGATTTCAACTTTTATTCCTCATTTTCTGCGTCCAGAAGAATAGGGCAGTTACTGGGAGTTTTTCGTAATTTTTTTTTTAAATAAGGAAAGGATGAATAAAAATTCTTTTGGTTTGCCAATTGTCTAGAATAGTGACTCTAACAACCGGGCTATACATTTAAATGTTTTCAGCTGCACTGTTTGGTTACCTGAAATTTAGTTATAAACTTTTTATTTTTGGTTCTGCTACTTGAAGTTTTTGAGATGCTCAGTAATGATTTAAGTAGATGTTTTAAAAAAGAAGCTCTCCTTTTACAAGTCAAACTCTCTTAATTGTTACATGTGCAGATGTTTTAGTATCCACCTTAAATCACTAAAACAACCTTTCTTTTCATTAAAGGAAAAAGTCACTGTTGATGGGGCTTTGACATTTTATTTTGAATTGTTAGGATGTGGTTTGTGGCTTCTGTAATTTCTTATTCATGAATTGTCAGCATCCAATCAAGAACTAAAGCTGTTTAGTAATGGTATATGGTGCATTTTTGTGTATTTCTCCATTCTCCCCATAACATTCAGCTGCAGAGTATAATGAGTAAGATGTTTAACCCAGTGCACATAACTTGTTTTAAAGTATTGATTGATTTAACTTTTCTAGACGTTTGCCATTGCTGGATTAGGATCTGGACTAACAGAAGCTATCGTGGTTAACCCTTTTGAGGTAGTAAAAGTTGGCTTGCAAGCAAATCGGAACAAATTTACGGAGGTAATCATTTGATGTTTTCCTATTGGTGAGGGAATGTAAAAAATTATTTTTAATATATGTACGTGCTATATATATAATTATGAACCCAGCTCTTAGTCACTTGTTAAAACCATAGCAAATTATTCTTTTTTTTATATAGCAAATTATTCTTAAGGAAGTAGCATAAGAAAAAAGTCAAATTTCTTCCACAAGGGAATTGTGAACAAAAATGTTCTAAAGTCCAACGGACAAACGCATGTTTACAAGTTTTTACTTTACATTTGGAATGTAATCTATAATGACTTATTTGGAAATGTTTCCCCTACTTTTAACAAAACTTCTACTTCACATTACGCTTCTACTTCACATTACGCTAGAAGAGACTGAAGCAAAAACCACAGAGGTGATAATATTGTGCTTTTTAAAAAAAATACTATGAAGTCATTTTTTTAAATTGCCTTACTCCTTTCTCCACTCCACCCCCTGCCCTCCCCCAAAGAGTCTGATCATCTGTCAAGCTTGTCTTTTGGTTTAACCTGAATGAAGCAAGTTACTAAACCTGGGTAGACGTCACCACTCGGGCAATGATGGGTCCTGACATTTAATCAGTGGTACACGGTGTTCCATGAAGACAGCTGCCCTTGGCGTGTGCTGCCTTCACTTCCTCCCAGTTGCCTAATAATTCCTTTGAAACCACCAAGTCCAATGGTTCTTCTTTTATTCTTTTGGGTGCCAAGCACCAGGTGGGGAGAAAATAAGGAGACTGGCGTTCCAGGTCCTTCCTTCCTTAGCATTTTAAGTTAATTCCCCAACTGGGTAGCATGTGGTATAAATTGCTTTGGAGTATCTGCTGACCTAAAGTTCTCTGTAGAATAGTTCCCCTGCCTACTACTTAAGCAGCTGCTAATGGGTGGAGACCCCCCTCGCTCCCACCCCACTTCCTGCCTGCTGGTACTGCTTGAGAGGTCCCTGGCAGCTTCTCGAGCAGGGGTGTGGGAAAGGAGAAGGGGGCCCAACTCACCTGAGGCTGCCAGGACCCAAAGAGCACAGGTTGGGCTGCTAGAGCAGATGGTATCCGCTCAGATGAAGTCAATCCTAATTAAGGGAAAATTTTTTTTCCCAAGTTTCAAAAGGTTGCCTTAATTGCAGTGATATTCGGCACGTGGGTAAAGATTGAACATCCTTGCATGGCCCTAGTCTTTGTTTTGTTTCCTATTTCCTTGAACGAAGGAAAAAGGTGGTGAGGAATAGGAAGAAAAGAGAAGAAGCACTTCTTGAATGCCCTGCTGAAATGGAGCAGCTCCCATGAAATCCGTTCAAGGAAATTTTGATTTATTAGACTGGGAGAGTTACCAATTAGAAGAAAATTGTGGAGCTCCTCCTCTTCCGTGGCCTCCTCTTTATCATGGTGAAGCTGGTCAGGGCAGCAAAGAGGGGACAATGAAAAATAGGTATTCAGCGGCGGTCCTTTATCAAGGCAGCACGTAACCTGAGGGACACGACTGGGACAGAGCACCATGAGAGCACCCGTGGGAATGAGAATAGTGAGTTATCACGACACCCCTGCTCACGCCTAATGTTCTTTGTCTCTCCTCTGCCCTCAAGGAGCTTCCCCATTGAGGCCAAGTAAGAGCTGCTAATGGGTTGCCTGTGTTAAGGCCAGTCTAGAACACGGGAAACACCCTGCCAGCCTAACCCCAGACTGCCGTGTGTGTGCATGGTCCCCATTCACTGACAGGAGTGCGCTGTGTGTCAGCTGTGTGCGTATATGCAGGCAGGCAGTTTTTAAGTGGGGCGAGAACAGGAGCTTGTCTGGGGTTATTTCCTTTGCAGAATCCACTGAACTGGACTCATTTTTAGGTATTTAGACAAAACAAAAATGTTCAGTACATTACAACCTTCGACGAGTCAGACGTGATCACACACGTCAGCATTTATTTCCGACAACGATCAAGATTCAGTTGCTGAACTGAGGTGGTGCTTAATAGGCAATACTGATCAAGGGAAAAGGTGTTAGTGGTACATAGTCACCCAACATAAAGTAACGGAACTGTGCTTTCTGAAGGAAAAAAAACAAAAACAAAACTGAAAGGAACCGATGACATGATGAGAATAGCAAATTTGGATCTAGTTCTTGAAAAATAACTGGTAGTCATTTTTGGCAATTGTAGCTATTTCCTATTTCTTTTGTCTAGGACCCACTAACTCCAATGCCTTCCTCCACTGACTAGCACTTTCTTTTATCCAAAAAGGAGACACCTTTTTGTTAATCTGTGCCTGGGTTGGAATAATCCAACTTTTAGGTGTGCTCACTTCAACATTTGGATGGCCAAGAATAATGATTACTTTTCTTCACTCTGAGGCCTTGTCAGCTTGTCAAGAAGTGTATGCGTTGGAGGTGGTGGATGGGGTGGGGAAGAGGAGGAGAAAGGAAAGGAGAAAGGAAAGAAGAAAGGAATTAATACAATGATCAATGCATTTAAAGGTTATACATTTAAAAAAAGTTTGAGTCCAGGTTTAAAAGTAGTGCATATTTATGTTAAAAAGCACAAAAAATACTTATTTTATATAAATAAGTGTGTAAACATATTAAAAATGGTCTAGACTCCAGAGCAATACCGATATAATGGCTAATACCAATATAATGTAAGCTACATTTTATAGTACCATATTTAAAAAGGCAAAAAGAAACATGAAATTAATTTAATACTGTATTTCATTTATTTATTTTTTTTTAAAGATTTTATTTGTTTATTTGACAGAGAGAGATCACAAGTAGACAGAGAGGCAGGCAGAGAGAGAGAGAGGGAAGCAGGCCGAGAGCCCGATGCGGGACTCGATCCCAGGACCCTGAGATCATGACCTGAGCTGAAGGCAGCGGCTTAACCCACTGAGCCACCCAGGCGCCCTATTTCATTTATTTTTAATTCTTTAACCCAATACATCCCAAATATGGTCATTTCAACATGTAATTAATATAGAAGTTAAATGAGATATTTTACACTCTTACAGATTTGGTCTTTAAATCTCGTGTGTATTTTATGCTTACAAGCACACTTCAGTTTGAACCAGGCCATTTCAAGCGCTCAATAACCACGTATGGATTGTGATTTCCTTATTGGCCTGTGCAGGTCTGTCATGCAGAGGAATGCATAGAAACTTCTAAATTGTGATTGCCTCTGAAAAGGAGACTAGAATAGGGGGTGTGGAAGGTAAGCGTTTAAGGGAAGGGTTTTGTGTAGTTAAATGTTTAACATGAGAATGTATTCAGCATTACCTATGAATATTTACTTTAAAAAGCACTTTCATCGTAGAAAATTCAGGAAATACAAAACAATATAAAGAAGAGTATGTAATCCAAAGGAAACGTTCTATGGCTTTGCCAGGATCAAGCCTCCCTTTAAGGAGAGGGTTCTCAGCTGATTTGGGTAGAAATGACTTGCTGGCCCTTTTTTTTTTTTTTTAAGATTTTATTTATTTGACAGAGATCACGCGTAGGCAGAGAGGCAGGCAGAGAGAAGGGGGGGGCGGGAAGCAGGCTCCCCGCCGAGCAGAGAGCCTGATGTGGGGCTCGATTCCTGGACCCCGAGACCAGGGCCCAAGCCGAAGGCAGAGGCTCAACCCACTGAGCCATCCAGGTGCCCCTTGCTGGCCCATCTTAAGGCTCAATGTTGCACAATTCAGTCTCCATTACTTCTTTTATAGTAGCAGAAACCTGTGTTTTTTTCCTGCTCTATGATTTGTTAAAAAAAAAAAAGTTTAAACCTTACATGCAGGCTATCAAAGAATGTATATAAACAGAGCTGTCTGAACAGGAAGGCCACTGGTGAACTGGCAAGTCTGGCCCAGGGCTGGAGAGAGAGAAACCTATCATGCTCTTTACCATTTCTTTACATGGCCTTGAACAAGTTTCATGCAGTTCCCTTGGTGATGAAACGATGGCTGTCAGTCCAGCTATCTTACAGTGAGGCATTTTTTTTTTCTTTTAAAGATTTTATTTATTACTTATTTGACAGACAGAGATCACAAGTAGGCAGAGAGGCAGGCCGAGAGAGAAGGAGGGAAGCAGGCTCACCGCTGAGCAGAGAGTCTGATGCGGGGCTTGATCCCAGGACTCTGGGATCATGACCTGAGCCGAAGGCAGAGGCTTTAACCCACTGAACCACCCAGGTGCCCCACAGCAAGGCATTTGTATAAAGTGGCCAGTAGCACAAGCTCCAGAGGCCCATCTCTGTCATTGACTATGTGGCAAGTTCATGTTTCCCACTCTGACCATAGTTCTTTCCTATTTTGTTAGAGAAAACTAATAGTAATAGGGTTGAGATGTGTATGCAAAGCTGTCAGTGCAGCCTATCATGCAGTGATGGTTTAATGTGTCAGTAGTTGTTATTACACATTTTTATGAGAATTTAAATATAATATATGCAAAGATCTTAACATAGAACCTGGTACATGGTAGGAAGTCAACCAGTGGTAACTATTTCAAGATGCAAGTTGATATTACAAATGCTTAAAGTTACCTAAAGACCTTTATCTTGAGCTAGTACCCCCATTAATATTGAGCGGCCACAGCTGACGCCAGCCGTGGGCACGTGGACAGCTTACTGAGCGTGGTCAGTTTCTCCCTCAGTCCCCGCTAGGCAGTGCTCAGGTGCCAGTAGGATCCATTCAGCCAGAATACTTTATCAAGGCTTAAGGGCTGGCAGCCTAATTACAGCACCTATGGACATTAAACTCGGATGCAGGTCTGCTGTCATGAACAGAAGTAGCTGGATCTCTGTCAGCTGTAAATAGCCAGCAGATAGCAGCAGAAGCCAGAGACACACACACACACACACACGAAGCCACTTTCGAAAGATTCCCACTATCGAGATATGCTTCCTCTGGAATAGTTGTACAAAATTCATGTGTATTTTTGTTTTGAGGGGAGTGGGAGAGAAAGAATCTTAGGCTCCACGCCCAGCACTGAGCCCAACACGGGCATCCATCTCAAGACACTGCAGTCATGACCTGAAGCCGAA